TCTGCAAATTAAGAATGGAAAGGAACATTCTCAACATAAGAACATCTATGAAAAACCTACAACTAGTATCATACCTAATTCTGAAAGATAAATGCCTTCCCCATAAGATAAGGAACAGAACATGGATGTGAATTCCTACCACTTCTGTTCAACACTGTACCAGAGATTCTAGTCACTGCAATAAGGCAAGGAAAAGAAATAAAAGGCATCCAAATTGAAAAGAAAGAAATAAAACTGTTTTTATTTTCAGATGACAAGACTATCTACATAAAACTACTGATAGACTCAACAAAACTACTAGAGTTAATGAATGAGTTTGGCAAAGCTGCAGAGCAGAATATTAAAAAACATTATTTCTCACCACACATCTACAGCCATCTGATATTTCACAAACATGACACAAACAAGCAATGGGGAAAAGATTCCCTATTTAATAAATGGTGTTGGGAAAACTGGCTAGCCATATTCAGAAAACTGAAACTGGACCACTTCCTTACACCTTATACAAAAATCACCTCAAGATGGATTAAACACTTAAATATAAGACCTAAAACTATAAAAACCCTAGAAGAAAACCTAGGCAATACCATTCAGGACGTAGGCATAGGCAAAGACTTAATGTCTAAAACACCAAAAGCAACAGCAAAAAAGAGCCAAAACTGACAAATGGAATCTAATTAAACTGAAGAGCTTCTACACAGCGAAAAAAACTATCATCAGAATGAACAGGCAACCTACAGAATGGAAGAAAGTTGTTGTAATCTAGCCATCTGACAAAGGTCTAATATCCACAAAGAAACAAATTTACAACAGAAAAGCAAACAATCCCATCAAAAAGTGGGCAAAGTATATAAACAGACACTTCTCAAAAGAAGATATTTATGCAGCCAACAAACATGAAAAAATGCTCATCATCACTGGTTATTAAAGAAATGCAAGTCAAAACGACAATGAGATACCATCTCACGCCAGTTAGAGTGGCGATCATTAAAAAGTCAGGAAACAACAGATGCTGGAGAGGATGTGGAGAAATAGGAATGCTTTTACACTGTTGATGCAAGTGTAAATTAGTTCAGCCATTGCGGAAGACAGTGTGACGATTCCTCAAGGATCTAGAACCAGAAATACCATTTGACCCAGCAATCCCATTACTGGGTATATACCCAAAGAATTATAAATCATTCTACTACAAAGACACATGCACACGTATGTTTATTGTGGCACTATTCCCAACAGCAAAGACTTGGAACAAACCCAAATGTCCATCAATGATAGACTGGATAAAGAAAATGTGGCACATATACACCATGGAATATTATGAAGCCATAAAAAAGGATGAGTTCATGTCCTTTGCTGGGACATGGATGAAGCTGGAAACATCATTCTCAGCAAACTATCACAAGAACAGAAAACCAAACACTGCATGTTCTCACTCATAAGTGGGAGCTGAACAAGGTGAACACGTGGACACAGGGAGGGGAACATCACACACTGGGGCCTGTTGGGGGGTGGGGGACTAAGGGAGGGATAACATTAGCAGAAATACCTAATGTAGGTGACTGGTTAATGGGTGCAGCATACCACCATGGCACATGTATACCTATGTAACAAAACTGCACGTTCTGCACATGTACCCCAGAACTTAAAGTATAATAATAAAAAAGAAATGTTATTTCTACATACTACCAACGAAAAATCAGAAACTGAAAGTAAAAGAATAATACCACTTACAGTAGTATCAAAAATTTCAATACACAGGCATAAATCTAACAAAAGATGTGCAAAACCTAAACATTAAAAACTACAAAGTATAGCTGAGAAAATTTAAAGAGATACATCAATGAGGTAAAAAAGAACCAATTTTACTTTAAAACGTACTATAAAGCTGATATAATTAAGACAGTGGGGTATTGGTGTCCAGATAAGACAAATAAATCAGTGGAAAAGAATAGAGTTCATAAATAGATACATACATATATAAACAACTGCAAAGGAGCAAAATTAATTCAACGGAGAAAGGGTAGTTTTCCAATTGGGCATCCAATGCAAAAAAGTGGCCTGGATCCTTACCTCATGCCTTGTATAAAATTTAACTCTATGAACCACAGATGTAAATGTAAAACCTAAAACTATAAAACTCCTAGAAGAAAACATAGAAGAAATCTTTGCAACCTTGGGTTAGGCAATGATTTCTTACATGACACCAAAAGCACAATTCATAAAAGAAAAAATTGATGAATTATTTCATCAAAATTAAAAATGTTTGGGTCCAACACTGTTAAGAGAATGAAAAGAAAAAAATGAGTCCATTACCACTCTGCCAGTGAGTCTCACACCCCACTAATGAATGAATTCTTAGTTCCTTAGATTGATAATACAAGTACCTCTTTGAACAGGTTCCTAAAAACTAACTGATCTTTCCCAGACAGAGGTGGAAGAACAGTACACAGCAAATATGCTACAAGCTTACTCTACTAGTAGCCTGGTTGAGTGTGGAGCTGCCTGTTGTTATGATATGTAAAGCTGAAATAGTAATTATCAGAGGAAATGTCATGTGGGGTTGCCAGTTGAGAAGTACCAAAACAAATGGTCTTGACCTAGGCTCCCAAATTCAAAAGTAACAAAGAGACAATCGAGATCAACAGAAATCAGTGTAGAAAAAGTCAGAGGCAGGTGGAAAGAAGACCATCTATCTTTATCTGGGCTGGTATCTCGGTGGGTCACTTAATGGAATAATCCACCACCTTCAAATGGCATGCAAAATCCAGTTAAAGAAAAAAGCAGAGCAACGCAGACACTCAACTCTCATTCTTATCTCTTCATGCATACGCTACCATTCTAGGCTCCGATTCCCTGAATAAAACCAGTTATTTTAAGCCTTTGAACCATTCCTTCTTCTGCTCCTTCTGCTTGAGATTTCCTTCTTGCACTCCACTTGTCTTCTGTGGAACTATTAAATACCACTCATTTTTCAAAAAATGTTACTATGCTTCAGTTGTCTTATTTGTTTCCCCCTGGTATTTGGATCTCAGTTTTATCTAAGAATTCTGGCTGGATCATTCTTATGAAAGTAATAGTTTCTCACTGCTTCAAGTACTCTCCTGACTCTAGCCAAACTCCTCATCAACCAACTCCTGTCCCACACCACTCTTATGGTGGCCAGTTAGCTGTTCTTATGAGATGGGGATATTCTCACTACAAACCTAAGAAATAATGCTAATGTTATTGTGTCATTACAGTGTCATTATTTTAGATAACATATACCATGCACTTAAAATGTGCCAGACACTATGCTCACTGCTTTTTCATCATCTCATTTAAGTCTCACAACTTCAAGAGGATTCTTGTGTTCTTATACTCATTACACAAATGAGAAAACTGAGGTGCAGAAAAGCTAGGAAACTTGCTCGAGGTCACAGACCTGGAAAGAGGTAGGCTCTGGCCGGGCGCGGTGGCTCAAGCCTGTAATCCCAGCACTTTGGGAGGCCGAGACGGGCGGATCACGAGGTCGGGAGATCGAGACCATCCTGGCTAACACGGTGAAACCCCGTCTCTACTAAAAAATACAAAAAACTAGCCGGGCGAGGTGGCGGGCGCCTGTAGTCCCAGCTACTCGGGAGGCTGAGGCAGGAGAATGGCGTAAACCCGGGAGGCGGAGCTTGCAGTGAGCTGAGATCCGGCCACTGCACTCCAGCCTGGGCGACAGAGCGAGACTCCGTCTCAAAAAAAAATAAATAAATAAATAAAAGAGGCAGGCTCTGAGCCCAGACAGACTAAATCTAGAGGCTAACTGAGTTCTTAACCACTGGTCTATAATGCTGCCAAAATGGGACTTACTACCTTTTTCCTAACTTCCCTGTTGCTCATGCAAAAACGAAGCGTCCTCTACCTCTTTCCTTCAAATCCCCTGATCCCCAATCTCCCTGTACCCAACTTAGTTTACTTCTTATCTGAATGATGACAGTAGTCAACTAACTGCACTCTGCTATAATGCACATTCCCCATAAAAATCAGACCGGGTCTTCTAAATTACAATTTGATCATGCCACTCTCAACTGAATTCCTATAACCCATGCAGTGGTCCAAACTCCTTAGCACAGAGAAGACAGGGCCCTTCACCATCCAGCCCTTTCTACTCCTTCGACTGCACTTGCCATTTCCCTATATCAATATTCCAATTCAATTTACATCAATATTACATTCAAACCAGCCTTGTTGCAAATCTTTAACAAAGCATATTCCTAATGCCCTCAGTGTCGCAAATATTGTTCTATTTGGGATGCCTAGAGTTTTTATATACTAAATTCATATTGGTATTGCACGTTTCAGCCTAATAGCACCTTCTTTGAACATATTTTAATAATAATCGTGTAACAGTTAATATTTAACTATTACATAACAATAAATTAACAATGTATCAGATACTATTCTAAATCCTTTACACATTTTAATATTCATTTAATCATTGCAACAATCCCTGAGACTGTGGCAAAAGAGCCAGCAGTTGCTGCCACTTCAATATACTTTGGAATACATTTCCCTCTCCACATTAAATTCTTAAGGTAAAAAACTGTCCTGTTTATCTTTGCAGCAGCTGTTCTTCTATAGTGTCTGGTACATAATAGAAACAGGAGTTCAATAAACATCTTTTTAATAAATGGCCAGAGAGCTGGGCCCCTAGGTTTTAAATGCACACTTGGAAACTCTTGCTGGCCATTAGCCTTCTAATCTTCAGAGCACGAGAGGAGCATAACAAACATGTTTAGCGTCTAGCAGAATTCTGTGTAAGCCACAAGTACCACCATACGGTTCTGCTTAAATATACACATATCCTCACGTATACCATCAAGCTTTTTTTTTTTTTTCCCTGCAACTAACTTCTTTAAATTTTTACAAATTTAAATGTACCCAACCAGCATTGAAAAAAGATTTGTCGGTCAACGACGACGATATTAAACATTGTATGTGAATATGAAGTCTCAAAAAAACATGGAGCTTACTTTGCTCTCTCAGAAAGTCGATTTCTGTAGCCATTTCGATACAATTTTAGTTTGGAGTTTTCATCACCTTTACCTTCCTCTGAAAGACACAGAGCTTGCTGTGCGGGAAAACAAAACTAAGCCAACACTCGGTTGGTTGTCAAGCGCTCCAGCGGTGCAATCTGCATCCTACTCACGCGGCATCTACAGCCCCGCCACGCTTCCTTCCCCCGCGCCCCAGACGAGTTCCAGGCCCTGGAGAGAGACTGAAGATTGCTGGGGGCGCGCCAGGTGAATTCTGTTCCACGTTCAACCGAATCCCACCCTGGTGGGAAGAGGACTTGCTCGATACAGGCGTCCCGAGGGTCACTCTGGGTCTCGTCGGGCCACCTAGGAGAGTGCCGCGGGAGCTGGAGGGCAGCCTGAGAGCGGTGTTCTACGCGGAGCGGCGTGGGTTGGAGAAGACGACGCCAACACGGCTGGGAAGCCCCAGGCCAGCAGCGGAAGTCCACTCGGCCCGCCCTGCGACTTTGAAACCGGTGCCCCGAACCACTCCTTGGAGACGGTGACGCCGCTTGCGTCATCACGCGGGCGTTGGCGCTTACGCCATCGCGCGTCCTAGAGTCCTAGCACGCTATTGGCTGGCTGTCAAGCAATAGGAGGAGTCGTGAGAACCTGGGTGACAGCTGAGCCACCGGCTTGGCGCGGCGGGCAAACTGGTGGGACAGTGTCTCCAGGTGGTGTGGCCCAACCTCTTTTTTTTTTTTTTTTTTTAACCCAAAATGCAAACGTGAGTAGGGCATGAAATACACAGTTTAAATGCCCTCACTATCTTTGGGTTACTAATATACTAAGCCTTTCTGGACTAAGTAAAGGATGCAGGTTCATGCGGCTAGGGGTAGAAGCCAGACTTGGGTCTTCAGAATCTCCCACCAAGGCTGTACCTCTGGAGGAGTTCTGTGTTTCGATTTGGTCATCTCAAGAAGGTAAGTACCATCCTGCCAAAGGAGACAACTGTTGTTTAAATATTTAACTGTGTAGTAATAAAGCATGTAGTTAGAAGTATTCAAAAGATCTTGCAAATTCAGCAGCTATTTCTTCAAAGATAAGCTTTTTTCCTCAAATATAAGGAAAGATAAAAGGTACTTTTTTTTTTTTTTTTGCAAAAAACAAAACGGTAAAACTTACATTTGTGGATAGATTACAGTTTTCATTTTTGAAAATTGATTTTGTCTGGATTTAAAACGTATGTTTTTTTTTTTTTAATTATTTAACATTGGAGGAAATCTCACCACTAGCAACAAATATGTTAATTTGAAGCTAGCCACTAGTTTTGCGCTTTTAATAAATTGTATTTTTATGGATTGAAGTAAAGTTTCACTAAACAGGCATGTCATAGATGCAGCTTGATTTGGCTTTCTGTTTAACAGCTTAAGAGTTTTGTTGTCCTGTACTCATAATGTCATATAAAGTAACCTTAGCGATATGTGTTAAGAAATTTTTAAAAATGTATTCGAATATGTGCAGTTAGGCATCTGAAGTCCTGACTCAATACTCGCTGTTAATAGAATGAGATGGTCCCTTCCTCTAAAGACTAGCTGTTAAATATGGATGTGTAGCTTAATAATCATTGAAAAGGTCTATCTAGCTTTGGGTCGTGGATAATTGAACTTGTTCTGATTTTTAGTAGCTATAATGTTTACACGAAAACTTTTTACATAAAGGGAAAATTGAGTGTGCAAGCTCCAACTCGTTTATGGAGTTCAGTATATGACTCTTTCTTCATAAACATCTCACTGACTCTCCGAGGACTTGCTTGTAACTTCTCCCACATTTGAACCTTGTATATTGTCATATTGTATTTCTACTTGGCATCAAATAAATAATTATAGACTTAACTCTATGCTTACACCCAAACTGGATGGAAGCAAATACCTTCTGGCTATAATGATGAGTGGTAGTTACATAAAGTGAGTATCTCAGGTGAAAATTTTTGTGTCTGCACTCGATTTTTTTTAGCTTACATGATCATAATTATGATCGTGATAGTTTTTTGTTTTTGTGTTTGTGGTTACAAGATTTTAGTAGATGAATTTTAATGGAGTATTTTCAACGTAAGTTTCATCATTAGGAAACAAAATTGTTTTCACTTATCCTTAATGGATCCCCTCTCGTGTTTCTCCTTTTCACACGTCCTGAGTTCTCTATCCACTTCTCCCAAGGTAGGTGCCACCTTAGTACTTATTTCATGCTCCTTCCTGCATTATCTATCATGTTTTGTAGTTTGTCTCCAGGCTCCATCATAATACCTGGAACACAGAATTGATTAAATATCTGATAGAAGGAATGAAAGAATTCAGTAGATGTTCCTAGAAAGTATCTATTAGTATAAATTGAATACAAGGAATGACAAGTGGATATGTACATACTCATAGATAATTGTATAGATTGAAAATTAGTGACTTTCACTAACATTAATTCGGTTGATCAATTGACATTGAGCACCCAGTACTATGTGCAAAGTACCATGAAGAATACAAAGTTAGACGTTTAAGCAAGGGTCAGAATAGATCACACAGCTGGCAAGTGCCTGAGTTGCTATTTGAACTCAGGCAGGATGGTTCTAATTTCACAACTGTTAACCGCCATGAACATGCCTCCCCAGGAGTATAGTGTAATCTAATTTATAGCTGGTATAATATAATTTATAGTTTTTGCTTATATAGCCAGTTAGCCTGTAGTTGTATTAAATGAATTATTTCTGTACATGTTCTGTTGTAATCTTAATGCTTTACAGTTGATTATCAAATTATTGCACGGTATTTTTATTTCTGAATCACCCTTCCTTCTTCTAGGAAACCACTCAAACTTTAGTGGAACGATTAGAAGTCTTCAGACGTTCACCTGTGGCCCTTCAACATTTTTCTTTCCTGGAAAAATCAAGTGTCTCTGCTTCAGTGTTCCAAGCCCCTCCCCCAGAACGTGTAGGAAGCTGGGTGGAGCCTAAAGCCGAGCCCTCTGCGTTGACCTCGGCTAAGAGGAGGAAGCCAGTGTTTTGAGAAAAGCTTCGTGGTCTGTGTTCTTTTGTTATTCTCTCTTCTCTCTGACATTCCTTTCGCCGTCGCCAGGTCTTGTCTTTCGCTTGATCTCTGGAAAACAATGAAAAGTATTTTACTTTTCAGTTGTCTCCTGCTAATTGAGCGTACTCCCACGGTCAGGCTGACTTCCTCGTTTCTTCGTTTCTCTTATAAATGGGCGGGGCCTCGGGGCGGTATGGAAACTGAAAAGAAATCATTATTGTAGAAAAACTAAAAGAAATTTTGTTGAGCAGAGGAAGTTGGAAATTTTCCTTGCGGATCATTTGGTTGAGAAAACACCTTTACCATAATTTATTTCTTTTAAACTTTGTGGACCTTTTTTTTTCTTTTCCCGGCTTCTTAATGCTCCAGTGTTCGGTCTCCTTCCTTTCTCTTCCTTCGTTTCCTTTTAGAGGTCTTTCCAGGTAAAGAGAAAGCAATCAGAATAATTGAAAACTTATTTTTTTGACTTGTTTTAAGAGCAATTTGAAGAATAGGGGTTAAAAGTAGAAACATACAGATTAACAATAAACATTGTATTAAGAAAGTCTAAACAGATAGGGCGCGGTGGCTCAAGCCTGTAATCCCAGCACTTTGGGAGGCCGAGACGGGCGGATCACAAGGTCAGGAGATCGAGACCATCCTGGCTAACCCGGTGAAACCCGTCTCTACTAAAAAATACAAAAAACTAGCCGGGCGAGGTGGTGGGCGCCTGTAGTCCCAGCTACTCGGGAGGCTGAGGCAGGAGAATGGCGTAAACCCGGGAGGCGGAGCTTGCAGCGAGCTGAGATCCGGCCACTGCACTCCAGCCTGGGCAACAAAGCGAGACTCCGTCTCAAAAAAAAAAAAAAAAAAAAAAAAAGTCTAAACAGCCAAACTTGAATTGCAGGACAGTAATCATCTTGATAATATGCATTATGACTTTTCGGAAACGTTCAGCATATATAATATAAAGGGGAGAAGAGGCAGCTGCCATACTCTTAGGAGACCAGCCTTATTTTATTTATTTATTTATTTATTTATTTATTTTGAGACGGTGTCTTGCTCTGTCACAACTGGAGTGCAGTGGCGCTATCTCAGCTCACTGCAACCTCCGCCTCCGGGTTCAAGCGATTCTCCTGCCTCAACCTCCCAAGTAGCTGGAACTACAGGCGTGTGCCACCACACCCAGCTAATTTTTGTACTTTTAGTAGAGACGGGGTTTCACTGTGTTGGCCGGGATGGTCTTGATTTGCTGACCTTGTGATCCGCCCGCCTTGGCCTCCCAAGGTGCTGGGATTACAGGCGTGAGCCGCTGCGCTCGGCCAAAAAATAATTTTAAACCATTCAGTTGCCTTAAAATAGTAATGCGTGTCTGTCATAGTATAAAATGCAAATAGGTTTTTAAAAAGTGATGAAGTTGAAAGCAAAGCTTCCTCCTTCCCATATCTGCAGGCAGATAATTCCCTTCAGGGAAGCAACCACTGTAACCACCTCGTTTCTTGGTGTTTCCTGAGATAGTGTATGCATCACAAGCATATATGCAAATAAACTTCCTTTTTATTAAATAAATGCACCTTGCTTTTTTTCACTTCACAACGTATTTTAGCATAGATGTTAATTTAGAGCTGCCTCATTCATTTTAGCAGTTATACAGTGTTTCATTGTATGATATAGCATAATTTTTTTTTTACCAGTCCTCTACTGATGGGTATTTAAGTTGCTTCCAACATTTTGTTATTATAAACAATGCTACCACAAATATCCTCAACACTTATGCATTTTGAATATGTGCAGGTATAGTAACTCCTAGAACTAGAATTATTTTTGTCGAAGGATATTTGCATTTTTATTTTGATACTGACGTATTGCTCTTCACAGAGGCTGTATCAATTATGCCTCACTAGCAACATTATGATTTTTTCTCAGTGCCCTCATTAACACAGCATGTTATCAGACTTTCTGATCCTTGCCAATCTAAGTGAAAAATGGTAATTTATTGTGGTTTTAGTTTGCATTTCTGTCATTGTAAGTGAACATTTTGCATTTTCTCTCTGTGAGCTAACTGGCTGTTCATAATTTTTGGTCACTTTTCTGTTAGAGTGTTGGTCTTTCCCTTATGATTTCTAGGAGCTCTTTATGCATCAAAGAAATTAGTTATTTGTATCAAGTATGACTTGCATATACTTTTTCCCAGACTGTCTTTTGATTTTGTTAATGATAGACTTTTGGGGTAAGGGGAACTTGGGAAGGAGGTTTTTGCTTTTATTATATTATTTATTAATTATTTAAAAAAATTTCAACTTCTATTTTAGATCCAGGGGATACATGTGCAGGTTTGTTACATGGTTATATTCCATGATGCTGAGATCTGGGGTATGAATGATCCCATCAACTGGGTAGTGAGCATAGTACCCAGTAGTTAGTTTTTCAACCTTTGCCCCTTCCTTCCCATCCCCCTCTAGTAGTCCCCAGTGTCTATTGTTGCCATCTTTATGTCCATGAGTACCTAATGTTTAACTTCCA